ACTTTGGTCTACTTGTTCAAGATTGTTTTATCTATCCAGGGAATTTTGTGGATTGAGATGAATTTTAGGATTTTTTTCCTATTTCTGTGAAAAATTCCATTGAAATTACAATAGAGATTCCATAGAATTTGTCAATCATTTTGGCTAGTATAGACATGTTAGGAATATTAACTCTTCTAAACCATAAACAGGATGTTGTTCCATTTATTTGTGTCTGCTTCAATTTCTTTCATCATGTCTTAAATTTTCATAGATCTTTCGCCTCCTTGGTTAAATTTATTCCTAAGTATTTTATTGTTTTTGATGCTATTGTAAATAAAATTGTTTTCTTAATTTCTTTTTCAAATAAGTTATTAATGTACAAAAATGCAACCTATTTTTGTACATTGATTTTATGTCCTGCAACTTTATCAAATTTGTTTATTAGTTCTAAGAGTTTACTGGTGTAGCCTTTAGAGTTTTCTATATATAAGGACATTTCCATATATAAGAGCATACCATTTTCTATATATGAGAGCATTTCATTCTGTTAATATGATGTATTACATTGATTGATTTGAGAATGTTGAACCATCTTTGCAATTCAGAAATGAACCCCATTTGGTCATGTACAATTTTTTTAATGTGCTATAGAATTTGATGTGCTAATATTTGGTTGAGGCTTTTTGCATCAAAGTTCATAAGAGATATTAATCTGCAGGTTTCTTTTCTTGTAATGTCATTATCTGGCTTTGGCATCAGGGTAATGCTGGCCTCAGAATGAGTTAGGAAATGTTTCTTCCTCCTTAATTTTTTAGAGAAGTTTAAAGAGGATTTGTATGAACTTTTCTTGAAATGTTTGATAGAATCCACCTGTGCAGATATGTGGTCTTGGCTTTTCTTTTGAGAGAAATTTGATTACTGATTCAATCTCCTTTCTAGTTATACTTCTATTCAGATCTTCTATTTCTTCAAAATTCGATCTTGGCAGATTTTGTGTTTCTAGAACTCTATCCGTCTCACCTAAGTCATCCGATCTGTCGATGTTGAATTGTTTATTGTACTTCTCAGCTCACTGAGCTTCCCTAAAACAGTTACTTTGAATTCTCTCAGATCTTCATTTATTTGGAGTTGTTTACTGGAAATTATTGTGTTCATTTGGTAGTATCATATTTCTCTGTTCTTATTATCTTGATACTTTTGAAGTTTATAGGTGAATTATTTTGTATAATGTCTCTGAGTTTGGGTTTGTCTGATGTTTTCTTATGATAAGACCCTGCTTATAAATTTTTGTAGAGAAATAACAGGTGCTGTGTTCTTTTAATTACAACCATTGGATGCACATACTGTCTATTTACCCCATTAGTAACAGTGTTAACTTTAACCAATTGGCCAATGTGCTGTTTCATATTACTGTAAAACAGGTTTTATTTTTGTAATTAATACTTTTATAGAGAGATGCTCTAGACTATGCAAAATCCCATCCTTCAATCTATTTCATCCACTAGATGAGCATTTCTTGATTGTTCTTGCCTGACTTATTTATTACTATGATGGTTTCCAAGCAGCAACTTTCTCATATCATTTTGCTACATGTATTTATTAGCTTTCTACTGTGATTTCTTTTCTTATTAATTTTTCATTTATTCATTTACATCAGTATGAGCTGATGAGTTCTTCTTTAATTTGATAGGTTATAATTTGCTATTATCAAAATAATTTTGCTGCCCAAAAGGTCCCAAATTTGGCCACTGGGAGCCCTTAATGCTGGCTTCTATGTCCTTTTGACATGTCCCCTTCACATGTGATTATTTTCTTCCTTATTTTTTATGATAAAATATTCCAGATTTGTGTGGTAATATAAGATATATATTGGCCTCTGCCCCCAATATCTGGCACAAAACTCCTAAAACCCTTGTAATTTCCTCAGTGATAGAAGCTAAATGAACATCATTTGGTTTAACATTTGGTCTTTGACACCCAGATCCTAAAATCCTGAAATCCTGTAATTTCTCGAGTAATAGAAGTGTCTTTTGTTCTAATGAGGTGATTCCGGCTGGGCTCTTGACTGGATCTTAGGTGAGGGCTGGTCACTGGAAAGAACAAACCATATTAAAAATTTGAAATTTCCAGTCCCTCCCTTCATTCTCTCGAGAGGGGAAAGGAGTTGAAAAATGGAGTTCCAGAAATATCAGAAGTGAAGGATTTTGTGTGCACAGTAAAGAGAAAGACTCATAGAATAAAACAGGTTTTTACCTATTTAGAGTGGGGAGAACTATAGGTTTTTCTAACTCCATGGGGGTTCCCTAAGACAGTAGCCACAGCATCAACTGGACACGTGTTAGAAATACATGTTCTTGGGATTGTGATCTACTGAATCAGAAATACCGGGTGGAGCCCAGCACTCTGGTCTCATGAGGACTCCATGTGATTACGATATGCTTGGAAAGCATTGCTCTCAATTATTCTCTCTTAGGTCCATCACTCACAATAGAATCTCTCTGTGGTTATTCCAATAGTGAGGGCTGCCACACACATGCTTTGCATAGGCGGAGGAGCAGGCAAGCGGAGGACCTGACCAGTCCATCCACTCCTAATGCAGTTTTTTCATGAACAGCTGCTGATTTCCTATCCTGCTGACTATGGAACTAGGCAAATGATATCACCCCACACTCGGCTCACAGGAGTGGGGCGGTAGGACCAAGCCATGACTACTCCGCACTCAGGCCCCTCTGATTCTGGGCGATTGGCTGATTTATTCATTAATCTTTCACCACACTACACAGCATTACCAGAATGTTCTAGACTTCTGGGTGCATTAACTGAGAGATGATTCCACAGTTATTGTCAAGAATTCCCTGTGCACACCTGCATGTTTCTAATTCAAAAATAGGTTTTCGAAAACCACTTTCAGAAAAGCAGCTCACGTAAAACTCAATCACGATTCTTATTAATCTGTCGATTGACTTCAATGAAAAAGGGGGTTCATTGGCTCATGCGTCTAAGAAATCTGAGAATTCCCTCAGCAGAGCTAGAGGTAAATTCAGGAGTGGTTGGATCCAGGGGCCCAAAGGAATCCTTAGGACTTGGTTTCTCTCCTCGATTGTTCGGCACTGCTTACCTCTGTGCTGGCTCCACTCTCAACAAGCTGTTTTCACATGGTGTCCCCAGCAGAACCTGGTTTCATAATCCTTACGGCTGACAAGAGGTGGCATGTCCACACACTGGAATATCATGCAGCTCGAAACAGGAGTCAAGTCCTGATGCGTGCTACAGTGTGGGGGAGCTCTGAAAATGCCAGGGTAAGTAAAGGAAACCACACACAAAAGGTCGTTTGATTCCATTGATATGAAATGTCCACACCAGCTAAATCCATGAAGACAGAATGCAGATTGGAGGTCGCCAGTGGCTGGGAGAGAGACCCCTTGGGGACTGATGCTTACCGGGTAAGGCTGTTTTCTTGTAGCACGACAAAAATATTTGAGAACTTGATACAGACGATAGTGGTTGCTTAACGCTATGACTGTACTAAATACCACTGAGTTGTGAACCTTATATTAATGGTTAATATTATGAGGTTAATCTAAAAATGGTCATGTGACTTTCACTTAAATTTTATATATGTCTACATGGTCATGTGACTTTCACTTAAATTTTATATATGTCTACATCTCTAAAGGGTTCTTTCATGGGATGGTCAGTCAGGTGCAGCCACAATAGAGTAGATGAGACACAGGAAAACAAAGTTCTTTATACTCACAGGCGATCAGGTCCTAGAGAGGAGATCACCATAAGTTATACGGGGTCACAGGAGAAGCATCAGGCCTTGGACAGGTGGCAGGAGACAGCATCTAGGAAAGAGCTTCTGCTCTGGCCTTTACGGGTGAGAAC